TGCCAAAATTTTTTTGGAGGAAAGAGAATGAATAAACAAGAATTATCTGTACATTTTTACAATAGATTCTCTGAATTAGTCATCCTTCTTAAACCGTCCGTAGCTTTAGGTATAAAAAATCATTATCTAACTCAAAAAATCTATAATTAGGTAAGGTTAATGCCAGCTTTGGTCAGGGAATTTTTAATTATTTTATGTGGTATTTGGTTACTTTTTAAAATAGTTACGAAGTATAGTATTTCTTCTTGTAAGTGATCCGCAGTATTGCAAATTCTTTTCATTCTAAGTAGCTGTGAATAAATTGTGTTGATTATTACTCTTTTGGAAATATTTGAATTCCAGTTAGTGAGTTTAAGTGTGGAAAAAATTAAATTCTCTTCTTTTATCGTAAACTTTAATAAAACGGTAATCAATAATATGTAAATCAAGGTAGACTATATCATGCTGTTCTGTATTGGTTTTATTAAGTTTTAAGCAAGCAGGGTAGATATTAGCGTTTTCTATTTTGTTGTAGTTATTAAATGCTATGACATCATCAATATATCTATAGATGTGTTGGAAAAAGAGACTTTCTTTTCTTCCGTTCTGAGTGAACGTACATAGGTTAGTTCTTTAGTGAACAGGAATAATTCACAAACTGAAGTTGAAAAATTCCCGCCCATAGGTATTCCCTGAACTTGTTTATAGATGTAATTGTCAAACTGAATAAAATGATTGAAGAGAACGCTGGTAAGGAATAGCTGCCATTTTTCGTTGCTAAGAATGGTAGAAATTTGTGGAAATAAATCTGGAAGAGCAAGTAAACTTGTAAAAATTTCTTCGAGTGGTAGAGATGTATAAAGGTTTTCAAAGTCGTAGCATTGGATATGTTCTATTTGAAGGGAATTCAGAGTTTTAATAACTTGTTCATTACTAGAGATCATCCAGTTGCAATGCAAACCTTTAAAATCATAGTTATTGATTAGTTCACGAATCATACGAAGTTTTTGCGCAAAGAGATAATCTATTTCTTTGAGATAACTTTTAGTACTATTAGCTATGAACCTGAATTTAATTGGAGACTTATGAAATTTCGGTAAGGCATAGAGATTTGCAAACCTGTTGTTATATTTCTGGGGTTGTATTTTAAGTCTTTTATGTAGTGCTTTAAATTTATTTAGAAGAATCTGAGTACTGGAAGTTATTTTTTGGTAAGTGCAAGTGTTATTTAACTCTTTATGCAGAAGGTTGTAGTAGAAGTGTTGTCAAAGAATACTAAAATTGTTGCTTGCTTTGTCAATCTTCGTGATGATAAAGTTATGTTGCAATTTTTGAATGAGATCCTCCAGGTGTTTTTTATTGTGTAAAGAGTTGAAATTAGGCGCCTTGAAAAGCAAACATTGAAATTCTTTTATAAGTGCAGCTTTCCATTCAAGAAAAGTTGTAGTGGGTAAATTGGATCTTGTACTAGCAATAATAATAAATTTATCTAGATCATTATTGAATTGTTTGAGGCAGACGTGTCTATTAAGACTGAAAGTAGGACGAAACTTGGTGCCTAGTTGCATAAGGTTACGTAATTCAGTATTTTCTACAATATTAAGATCTCCTGTGACTATATGTTGGTGGAAAGGATCGACATATTTTTTGTAGACAGGCATTTGGCAGTAACAAGTGCTATTATCTTTTATAACGTGGTGGTTTATAACTTGTTGACCCAAGGTTTTTTTCAAATTTAAAACAGGGTTTAATCTGGACTGGTTGGTTAGGAAGCAAGTGCTGATATTTTTTGAAAATGCTAGGAATTTTGAACTTATCGTAAGAAGGGTGTTTGAACTGAATAGTACAAAAAAGTTTTTTGCGAAAGAAACTACTGTTTTTTAGTTTAAAATTGCAGAAGTCTAAAATAAGATCCTTGACTATTTTGGAGCATTGAGACGGTTGATTTACTGTTTTAATCAGATTCCATAAGGTAGTATTCTTAAAGGTATGAAGAAGTTTTATGGCATTTTTAAAACGAAGTCTTGATGTCCAAGGTAGGAATTAAGATTATGAATAATTAATTTCAGATCTTGTGTCGAAAAAATTTTTTTGTTTTTAGCATCACCTCCTCTAGTTCCTCTGTTAGTAGTAGTGCTAAAAAATCTGAATTGTCCATATATAGAAATCTCGTGCTGCCTATTAGTGGTATTACTGAGATATGCATTCAGTCCGTAAGGATAAAGTGACTTATTTTGAAGTATGTAAAACCGACTCCTTAAATCATCAACATAATTTTGATCACATAGAAAATTAACGTGCTTGATATTGTTCCTAACACCAAACTTCGACTGTTTAAGGAGTCGATTTACATACTTCAAAATAAGTCACTTTATCCTTACGGACTGAATGCATATCTCAGTAATACCACTAATAGGCAGCACGAGATTTCTATATATGGACAATTCAGATTTTTTAGCACTACTACTAACAGAGGAACTAGAGGAGGTGATGCTAAAAACAAAAAATTTTTTTTCGACACAAGATCTGAAATTAATTATTCATAATCTTAATTCCTACCTTGGACATCAAGACTTCGTTAAAAATGCCATAAAACTTCTTCATACCTTTAAGAATACTACCTTATGGAATCTGATTAAAACAGTAAATCAACCGTCTCAATGCTCCAAAATAGTCAAGGATCTTATTTTAGACTTCTGCAATTTTAAACTAAAAAACAGTAGTTTCTTTCGCAAAAAACTTTTTTGTACTATTCAGTTCAAACACCCTTCTTACGATAAGTTCAAAATTCCTAGCATTTTCAAAAAATATCAGCACTTGCTTCCTAACCAACCAGTCCAGATTAAACCCTGTTTTAAATTTGAAAAAACCTTGGGTCAACAAGTTATAAACCACCACGTTATAAAAGATAATAGCACTTGTTACTGCCAAATGCCTGTCTACAAAAAATATGTCGATCCTTTCCACCAACATATAGTCACAGGAGATCTTAATATTGTAGAAAATACTGAATTACGTAACCTTATGCAACTAGGCACCAAGTTTCGTCCTACTTTCAGTCTTAATAGACACGTCTGCCTCAAACAATTCAATAATGATCTAGATAAATTTATTATTATTGCTAGTACAAGATCCAATTTACCCACTACAACTTTTCTTGAATGGAAAGCTGCACTTATAAAAGAATTTCAATGTTTGCTTTTCAAGGCGCCTAATTTCAACTCTTTACACAATAAAAAACACCTGGAGGATCTCATTCAAAAATTGCAACATAACTTTATCATCACGAAGATTGACAAAGCAAGCAACAATTTTAGTATTCTTTGACAACACTTCTACTACAACCTTCTGCATAAAGAGTTAAATAACACTTGCACTTACCAAAAAATAACTTCCAGTACTCAGATTCTTCTAAATAAATTTAAAGCACTACATAAAAGACTTAAAATACAACCCCAGAAATATAACAACAGGTTTGCAAATCTCTATGCCTTACCGAAATTTCATAAGTCTCCAATTAAATTCAGGTTCATAGCTAATAGTACTAAAAGTTATCTCAAAGAAATAGATTATCTCTTTGCGCAAAAACTTCGTATGATTCGTGAACTAATCAATAACTATGATTTTAAAGGTTTGCATTGCAACTGGATGATCTCTAGTAATGAACAAGTTATTAAAACTCTGAATTCCCTTCAAATAGAACATATCCAATGCTACGACTTTGAAAACCTTTATACATCTCTACCACTCGAAGAAATTTTTTACAAGTTTACTTGCTCTTCCAGATTTATTTCCACAAATTTCTACCATTCTCAGCAACGAAAAATGGCAGCTATTCCTTACCAGCGTTCTCTTCAATAATTTTATTCAGTTTGACAATTACATCTATAAACAAGTACAGGGAATACCTATGGGCGGGAATTTTTCAACTTCAGTTTGTGAATTATTCCTGTTCACTAAAGAACTAACCTATGTACGTTCACTCAGAACGGAAGAAAGTCTCTTTTTCCAACACATCTATAGATATATTGATGATGTCATAGCATTTAATAACTACAACAAAATAGAAAACGCTAATATCTACCCTGCTTGCTTAAAACTTAATAAAACCAATACAGAACAGCATGATATAGTCTACCTTGATTTACATATTATTGATTACCGTTTTATTAAAGTTTACGATAAAAGAAGAGAAATTTAATTTTTCCACACTTAAACTCACTAACTGGAATTCAAATATTTCCAAAAGAGTAATAATCAACACAATTTATTCACAGCTACTTAGAATGAAAAGAATTTGCAATACTGCGGATCACTTACAAGAAGAAATACTATACTTCGTAACTATTTTAAAAAGTAACCAAATACCACATAAAATAATTAAAAATTCCCTGACCAAAGCTGGCATTAACCTTACCTAATTATAGATTTTTTGAGTTAGATAATGATTTTTTATACCTAAAGCTACGGACGGTTTAAGAAGGATGACTAATTCAGAGAATCTATTGTAAAAATGTACAGATAATTCTTGTTTATTCATTCTCTTTCCTCCAAAAAAATTTTGGCACTTTAATCTTAAATACTATTATGTACATATTTTTAAATTTAAATTTCTTTAGTGGCCAATTTTACTGCTTTTATTAACAAATCGGGCTTTTTTTTTTCATTTTTCATAGTAGCTTGATCGCCCGCTAGCTTGAAGAATTACGACTTTTTTAACATATTACTGTTTTTTTTTTTCCTTTTTTTCTCATGCTTTAATGGCCAAGTTTTTATAGTTTTAGCTGAATTTGCCATTTTCACTTCGAAAAATTTTTTTCCATCCTTCTACAAGCCAAGCGCCATTTTTTGAGCTCTTCACACGATTCACGAGGTTTCCGGCCCCCTCCGATAATAGGAGACGAGTTACAGATAACGAAAATCACTTCGCATTGGCTAAACGCCCACAACTCTTCGCTCCCCCCTACCTACGTCATCCAAAAATAAGACGCTTAAAGTTTAGCAGCCATTTTTCTACATGTTTTTCAGAGGGACAGCTTTACATCGCCAAGGTCAGTTTTTTGTTTCTTTTGTTACAACTTTTTCTTGGTCTTAGCAAGACCCACTGAGTTGTTCTTTTCTCAATTTTTTTTTTTTTAAATTTTATATTGATTATTAACTACAGGTTTTCTTACAGTTTTATAAAATCTACAATTTAAAAATTAAATTGTTAATCTTTAAGCTTGCAGGCCCAGCCCGAATGTATTTGTATTTTTAGGACTAATAGCTCATCGCTATTTATTTTCGTTTTGATTTTAATTTTAGACTAGATTTAGAAAGTTTGATTTTGATTTACATATTTTAACACCTTAATGTGTCTTTCTAAGCGGACGCGTCGGGAAATTGGAACAGAGAATTGAGACTATTAAAATTTCCAAGACACTTTGTTAAAAAAATTTTTTAGCGTAAAAGTTTCAATTGTCTGTTTCGGCGAAACGCGTAATGGGGTTAGCTTGAATCGACGTTCAAACAATGAAATTTCCCTTGAAAAGCCTGTTTGGATATCGAATTGGGCTAATTTACCATTTTCCGCTTACTTTTTAACTTTTTCTGTTATTTAATTTTATTGTATTTATGTTTTACATGTCTAATGATTTGCTTTTCATGTGTATTGATTTTTGAAAACGTCTTTAACCTTTTGGAGCGGCAGCTCTTGGTAACTTTTAGGCGAGCTTTCTACAATTTATATATATATATATATATATGTAGTAAGCTCGCCTAAAAGTTACCAAGCTGCTGCTCCAAAAGTTCAACACGTTTTAAAAAAATTAATACATATGAAAATCAAACCATTAAACATGTAAAACATTAAAAAAACAGAATCAGATAAAAGGTAAGCGCATTTCTGTGTTCTGTTCTGTGTCCATTTAATGTTTTACATGTTTAATGGTTTGATTTTCATATGTGTTAATTTTTTTAAAACGTGTTGAACTTTTTGGAGCAGCAGCTCTTGGTAACTTTTAGGCGAGCTTACTACATTTTTTTATATTTTACAGCATATTGCGCAAGATGTTTTCTAGACCAAAATTAGTTTTTCAAAATTGTAATTACTACCTTGCTTGATATATATATATATATGTACAAGGTGGTCATAAAAATCTTCCCCTATAGATGAACTCCAAGCGTCCTATCTTCTCAATCAATCGAAATGAAATTGCAGATATTGTTATTTGAAGGTATGCGTTCATTATTATGATGATTTAAAATAATAGAGTTCTCATGGTACGGTTACAGTTGGAAAATTTCGAAATTTTTGAATGGCAAAACCTACTTTTTTCTCCACAAATTGATCAGCGCTTTGAAAACCTGTAAATGGCGTTGGGACAATACACGTATAATGAAAATTGCCGGCCTAAACATATGCACAGAAGAGCATTACATGATTTGATGAAGCTCATTTTTTCTTAATTGACAATATAAACTCCAAAGACTGTGTTCGTTTGGGCTGATGAAAATCTTCACAATATTGCACTAATGCCTTTACACGAAGCTTAACTTACTGTGGGGTGAGACATTGCAAGCACATTCTTTCTCAGCCCGTAATCTTCGAAGAGGTCACAAGTATGAAATCATTCTAAATAACAAGTAATTTGTATACAGCTATGTTACACAACTATGTAATTCCAGAATTTCAGAAGCGAAATGTCGTTAATAGCATTGTAGGGATGCAAGATGATGCTCCTGCATACCTAGCCACATGTGTTCGGCAAGTGCTGCAAAAGCACTTGGAAGATAGAAACATCTCCTGCTGTTTCGTGGCCACTGTGATCTCCGGATCTCATTCCGATGGAGTTCTGGTTCTGGATTTATCTAAAATCTAAGGTGTACACGTTAAATCTACAAGATTTGTCAGAATTGAAAGATGCCATAAAACGGAAGTTATAGAGATTCATCTTGCAATGTTATGTTTGTCATTGTTTATCATTGCTCTTTTACAATGCCCGTCATTGCAAATATTTTACGCCTGCAATTTTTGTCATAGGGGTATTGTTTCCAGAGCCATTTATGGATTTTCAATGCGCTGATCGATTTGCGCAGAAGAAAACTGAGCGTTCCCGTTCAAAAATTTTGAATTATTTCACTGTAACCGTTTCTAATTTAAAATTCTATTATTTTTAATTATCACAATCCCGAGCGCATACCTTCAAATAACAACATTCGAAATTTCATTTCAATTAGTTGAGCGGATAGACCGTTAGGCTTTCATATATCTGGGAAGTTTTCTTATGACTACCCTGTATATACATTTGTGTGCGCACATTATCTCGAATTTCTGAAAAACTATTGAACAGATTTTAATGAAATATGGTATGAATGTCCATTTATAAGAATGAAAGAGATACACCATTCAAAAGTCATTTTATACATTCATAATTACGATTAAAGTTCACAATTGCGGGAACATCCTAAATTCATGTTGTGATATCGACCTGAAAATGAGTCTAACATGGGCTATGGTCGCCTTTCACAGCCGAATAGGTCATGCCGCGTGATGGCATACTGTACAGAAGGCAGTTAAGGACAGTATTGTACAGAAGTATCAGACTAATCGGTCAAGTTAAAGGAAACTCCATCCCGGAACTGAACTGTGACAGATCCATATCGACTATCATAACCAGACTTAGGACAAATCACTTAAAAGGGATGACGATTTCTGCAGACGGACAGCGTAGTCACACCAGCATTTGTCCTCATTACCCAGATGACATCCCACTGTCTCGCCATCACATCTTCAGCTGCCCAGCAATGCAGGCCAGACTGTTTGGCATCGGCATTGAAGACCCAGTGGACCTACTTTATACTGATAGAGCTGCCGAGGTTGCAAAAGCCATCTTTGATAGCTTCGAAGCTATATAATTGCACTTTGTCATAGACATGACATCATCATCATTGTACAGAAGGCAGTAGTTGATTTCACTCCTGCAGCAAGGCAGTTTTCATCTCCTGGATGGTTCTAGGAGGGAGATGATGAGATAAAATTGTTCCCTGAAGACTGTCCCAAACGTTCTCTATTTTAAAAATGCTCTGTGCAGGGTTAAGGTCAGGAGATCTGGCTGTCCAAGCTATGCGGAGAATATCCTTATTGTACAAGTAATCATCGACCAGGTGAGCTTCACGTAGACGAGCGTTGTCGTCCTTTAACAGAAGCGTAGGGCCAACTGCGCCTCTAAAAAGCCGAATGTAGCTCTTTAAGATCTCCTTTTTATAGCTCATAGTAATCAAGGAACCTTTGTCGAACCCAAGCAGGGATGTGCGGCCGTCCAATGCAATGCCTGCCCAAACCATTACAAATCCAACACCGTAATGATCTTTTCCCCTGATGAAAGAAGGATAGCATCATGTTCCAGGCTCTCTTCAGATACAGGTGCGCCGAGAATGTGTCCAGGCCGATAATCAGTGTCCGGCGCCGAGATTCCGTGTCCAATGAGTGGTCGGGAATCAGTATCTCGACTCATCTGTAAAATGCACAGTGCTTAAGTCTGGTTCAAGGCGCATGTTGTCTGCACGTTCTCTTGTGCGCTGCTCGGGAAGCAGACATGGGATCTTCTGGTACAGCTTTATCTCATTAAGCCTTGGAAAATGTAGACCGTGAAACTCGAGTTCCAGTGGCAGCATACAACTCACGTGACAGCTGTGAAGCTGTAGCATTCCCGTGTCGCTGCACTGAAAGTGCCAAATAATGATCCTCATTCGTCGTTGTGGATCTTGATCGATCTTGTCTATGTCTTCTCGATATAGATCCAATGCCTTGAAACTGCTTCCATATATCGCAGACGATACTGGACATTACTATAAGCTTTGTAGCCACCTGAGCTTGTGATTGGACTGCCTGAAATCTACCGACAATTCTCCATCTCATTCCGTCATCCATATATTCGTAATTTTTCAATTTACCTGAAACTTTTGAAAATTTACCCATCTCTTGAGAAAAACAAGACGAATGTCTTAAGAAAGCACAAATCTCCGAAAAATACTAGAGCGCTTATATACCCTCCACAGTCACAGGTCCGCAAGAATGCACGTATGTGCTTATGTATTCGACTCGTAATATTTCTATGACTCTTGGGCAGCATAATTAGTACCTTTGGTTTAATACGTTTCTTAAAAATAGATAGAATTTCAAAATTCTCATATATTTGCGCACGAGTGTAGTATGTTATGTTATATATATATATATATATATATAATATATATACTATATATATATATATACTAGGGAAGTACCCGATGCTTGTTAAGTTACACTAATGCATCTAACAACAGAGAGAACGATACCGCTGTAATCTTCTGTAATAACGATGCAAAAAAATACGATTCATAGTCATACATTTTTCAGTCTGATACGATATGGAAACCACATAAAACATTTCGATAGAAAAATAAGCTAATTCTCTCTCATTATATCAACAACAATGGCACGCAGTTTTTAATGATTTTCGTCTTTCTAAGCAAATGGTCGTAAAAGCTCAAGTTCTATCCAATATTTCACCTATATTCAATTTTAGTCGATTAAATGTGGCAAAAAATTGATCATAATTGATCAGAAATCAATAACGCAAACAAACAAACCCACAAACAGGCATTCTTCTTTATACGTATAGATTTTGTAAAACTTAGAAATTTTTGATAACAAACAAAAGCGAGCAGTAGCAACACTTTTCGAAATAAAGCATTTTTATCTCCAACGCGCGACACTGTTGCCACTCGGAAAAATGAGTGCGAAAATTAGCGCTTTGAGAGTTCTTAATTAATATTTCGGCTGATTAAAATCGTATAAAGATGGGAATAGTCGAAATGGCTTCCCACGAATTTTTGGAATCGGGAGTGATGTATTTAATATTTGGCAATGCTATTTTTATTTCATTGTAAACTTAGAAATTTTTTATTAACAAACTCTAGGATTTGAAAGCGAGCAGTGGCAACAACTATCAAAATAAAGCAGATTTTCATCTCCAGCTTGCAAGACTGTTGCCACTCGGAAAAATGAGGGCGAAAATTATCGTTTTTCCGAGTTTTTAATTAATATCACTGATTTTAGCTACTTTTTTTTAGAAACAAGTGGACGTCGGCCTTTTCCAGGACCCATAAAAGAATTGAAGAAAGTTTGGTGACGATAGGTATAGTAGTGACTGAGTTATCAGAGAACAAACGCACAGACTTCCTTCTTTATATATACATAGAGAGAGAGGAGAGAGAGAATAGTAATATTGTAATCCAACATTTTTTTTTTCTTTTGGGAGACATTCCATTTTTTTCTTGCGATATCTTGAAATCTGAAAATTATTGAAATTATTGAAATATATTAATTACAGAAAGTTACTAATTTAGCAAGGAATTAAAACATTTTTTTCTTGAAAAATATGCAAATTGTTTTATAGGAATGGAACTTGATCATCAGTTAAGAGTAATGGAATGCGTCCAACAGAATACGCAAGACCAGGTGAGTGACATTTATTTATTTATGAGCAGTCCGAGTGTCATTCTTCTTCCACAGCCACATTTATTTTTGACTTTTATTTATGACAAGGTCTCTCGCCATATTTCTACCTATGCAGGAATTTGATAATATATGAGTACTTATTCTATGGGAAATAGCGAAAACATATCCTCCACTTAGACATTTCTTTTATATATTCGTTTTTATCTCAATAAAACTTATTTTATTTTACTTTTATTATGCCTCTATCATGGTAAAAAAAGGCATAAAATTGCTTCCTTAGAGTAATAACGCAGTGCATGGACAAATATTTCGTTATCCAATGTTTTCGAAAAAACTGAAAGGAGAAGTTATAAAAGTATGAAATATTACGGACAGATTCTTTACCTCATTTTTTTCTAAATTCGCTAATAATTGTTATTTTAAAATGCAAGCAAAACATTTAAAACCAAACTTCTGTGATTCTAAAATGTAACATTTACTATACCATAAAAATTACATACTGAAAATAAAGTAGTTTCCCGTAATTTGAGTGAAGCTCAGCGGCAACCATAATGCACGAAGTTACTTTTTCAGAGTTTTCAGAATAATTTAAAACTGAATGTTCAATTTTTTACTGCAGAAATTAGCAATAAAAGAGAAGGACGGGAAGATGGGTGTAATTTATATGTTGTTATAGAAGTTCATAGGTATTGCTACGTTTTATTTTTGATGTAGATTAAGGGTGTAGTGGTAGGAGACGTACAGAAAAGTTCTGTAGATTAAGCACCTATTAAAGAGTCAGAAACATGTTTTATTAGCTTTTCGTAAGGTAAGTAAAAAAAAATCATTGCAGTGATATAGTCTATAGTGCTACAGTTTCATTTAAAATCCTGAAGTAGAATGGCTCAAAATCCTGAAGTAGAACTTACAGACAGATTTTAGTAGAACGTTTGGTGAGTGCGAATAAGCAGTATTATTTAAAATGATGTAAATTTCTTAATGACAATTTTATATATAACTTATTCTTGTTTTGAATGTCTCTTTTTAAACAAATTATACAGATATTTTGCTTTTTTTTCAAAGCTAAATGATACTTACTATTATCATTTGATATGGTATTTTTTGCTAAATAACATTAAAACTGTAAAATAAACTATTATTTTAAAATCTTAAGAGTTATTTGTATATTATTAAAGATAAAGTCAGTTAAGTAAGAAAATATTAAAATGTTAAGTAATATATTGCAGTATGAATAAAACTGAAGCAGATTTGTGTAATTTCCTGTCACCCATTTTTGGCAAATAAGAACTGTCTCCAAACAGTGCTGTTTAGCCCAATAACGGATAAGCGTGAGGTAACAACACACTCATAAGATTTTTGCTGTGGTTTTCCAAAATCCTGATTATCAATGAAAAATATAAGTTATAAAGAAGAATAAAGTTTTTATAATTTAATAAATACAATTTTTACAAAGAAGCTAACTACTATTTCTGTGTTTCAGTCTTGCATTTTGAAAATAAAATATTAAGAATTTGAACCTGCCTTCTAAAGAACAACAAGCAGGGGGAGTATTTTTAAAACTACGGGACAAGTTTTTCTGGTCCGAATACTCAAAACGTTGAAGGATTCTGGTATTCAGCAAAATAGCAAATAAAAAAACATCTCGAAATCGTGTGCGTGATTCCATTCAGATTTATATTAAAGTAATTTATATGAGCCGAGTTGACGCAGTGTGTATTAATATGCCTTCATTTGAACACTACGTGACAGTATTTCGCCCGCACAGAAACTCCAGGTTTGCCAAAATGGTGTGCTTAGACAGATTATTAATGCCGAATGGTATATACGTAATAACAGAATACATGAACAACTAGATATGAAATTACTCAGGACCCATTATTACAAACTGGCAAAACATTTTCACAGCAGACAGCAAACTATAGACAACTCCTGCATAAAAATCTGCAACTATGATTATAACGACCTGAATAATATGGACAGAACCCTTGCCCAGTTAAACACTTGGATCATGTAACCTCTCCCTCTTTTCTCATTCCAGTTGCTAAGCGCCACCATTTTGCTCTTTCTTGTACTATATGTCTGTATTCGTAGTTGTATTATATATTAGTATTTGTACATGTATATATGTAACGGTATTCTGTATTCTCTATTGTGCATTTTATATTGTGTATTCCTATTATACTCATTTTAGTGGGCTTAGGCTACAAATATTTGTACTTACATATATGTTTTATGCATCTTTCTCACCAGCTCGACAGCCTCTGTGCCTTATTTACGTAACAGCTTCATTCCCAACTCGTATTTTGCCCACTCTTGTTAGTCATACTCTCATTTAATTCAAGCTAATCTAAGCTTTATTTTTATTTATTAAAATTAATTAAATAAAATAAAAATAAATAAAAAAATAAAAATAATGTCTATTAAGATAAAATATAAATAAGTCAGGAAAAGTTACAAAATAGCACAAATTACAAAACACAAATTTTAACTGAAAGTAAATGACAGAAGTTTGCTACCAGATGGCGACACATTTGCATTACAGTCAAGTAGTTACAGTTGTAAGCCATAGATGGCCACCCATAGTTGCAATACTGGGGATGAATTAATTGCATTTTTCAATCCTAGATAGCGACACGTATGTCACGAATTAAAACTGTATTTAATTTGGTAAAATTAAACCAATATTAGGTTTGCAAAAGAAATTTTACGGTAGAATTACATGGCGAACACACATACAATAAACAATTTAAGTATTTAAATGCAAAAGGACTGTTTTCAGTCGTTTTCTGTTTTCTCTATCGTGGAAGTTATAATCCAGCTGAGGGATGCTGTTGTTCACTTTGTGAATATTTTCTGTTTTCTCTATCGTGGAAGTTATAATCCAGCTGAGGGATGGTGCTGTTGTTCACTTTGTGAATATTTCTAAAGAATTTTCTAGCAAATTTTGCAAAACAAACATTAATCTTATCAACGTCAAGTTCACGATGAATTGTATCATTCTTAATAAACCAGGGGCAGTTAGCCATTTGCCTTAAAGTCATATTTTGGACTTGTTGGATTTTTTCATAGTAGGGTCACACAGAAAACCCCAGACCGGACAGGCGTAAGTGATGAAGGGACGCAGCATGGATTGAAAAACAAGAATTTTATTTTGAATAGAGAAACTCGAGTTTCGGGCAATTAAGGGGTTGCGTAAAGCTTTAGCGCCCCGCGACTTATTTAAAGTATATGTAACGTGTGGGGTCTATGTGAGTCTTTGGTCTAAAATAACACCTAGGTATTTTAACTTGCTTGGCCCAGGGGATGCTGATACCATACATTTTGAGAGTAATCTCCAGGTCGACGTTAGTCTTGTAGGTGAAGTAAACACCTTCTGATTTCTCCACGTTTGTCTTAATTTTCCATTTTATCATCCACTACTATAGTGCGTGCATGTGTTCTTGTAATATTTGTACAACTGCAGCCATAGACACGTTTTGGCGTAGGATCGCGGTATCGTCTGCATATAGTGCAAGTGTAGTGAGAGGGGTTTTGTGGGGGTGTCGTTCGTATAAATTAAAAAGAGAGGGCGAAAGTAAACTCCCTTGAGGTAACCCAGCGAGAGTTACTTTTCGTGTAGAGTATTGTTATAACGACAAAGTATCTATCGTAAAGATAGGAATTGATGATGTTAATGATGTAATCTGGGAAACCCAGAGTGATTAACTTGTATGTGAGACCCTGTAATCATACACAATCAAAAGCTTTCGATATATCGAGAAAGAGAGCTCCGGTAATGAGTTTTTTCTTAAAGCCATCAGCAATCATTTCCGTTACTCTGTATAACTGATCAGTGGTGGAATGCTTCCGTCGGAATTCGTATTGCTCTTGAATCATGATGTTGTTTTCCTGTAGGAAATCTTATATTCTTTTCAGGATAATAGCTTCAGCGATCTTGCTTAATGTCAGTATGAGACTTTTTGGCCTGTAGGAAGCAGCGCGGGTTGGATCTTTACCCGGCTTTAAAATCGGGGCAATGATAGCAGTCTTCCAATTGGTGGGAAAGTGCTGGATTTTCATCATAGCGTTGATAAGTTTTGTGAGCTTGTAGAGCATCTTTGGTCCCATTTCCTTGATCATTTTATTACTTATTTTATCCTATCCTGGACTTTTTCGATTCTTTCTCTTCTCGATATAACTACTAACTTCTGATGGCATAATTAAGGGTGTGTGTTTGTGTGTGTTCTTGATTGGAATTGTGTAATGAGGGAAGAAACTAAGTATTCTGTCTGGGGGTGAGAAATATTGTGTGTGCGAAATTGAGAAGCATAGTTATCTGCAATAGACTCAATTTTCTCAAAATAAGTGTAGGCGATCCCGTTGGGGCCATTAATAGCCGGAATAGTAGCGTTGCGTCTCTTAAATTTAGAAAGCGCATTCCAGATCGAATTATCATCCGCTGAAAGCGATTTTAAATGTTTGGTCCAGTCGAGTTGTGCGTGTTTTTTTAATAGAGTTATGACTTGCTGAGTCAGTTGTTGGTTCAGGATGATTTTGTCAGAAGGGCATCTGCCGCTGTTTTACGTGCATGATTCTTTCTCCTGATAAGTTCTCTGATATCATTGTTTTTGTATCTTTTATCTTCTCTTACAATTTTACTATTTTTAAGTAATGCATCATGTAACTCCTCGGTGAATTCTTCTGTGAATGCTTCTAACTCATCTCTCGTTTGTATCGTATGTGTTGGGTACTGAGTGCTGTTTAGAGTTTTGGTATATCCTGCCCAGTTCATAATAGGGGCTCTTTTGTGTGATGTACTGTAAGTATTGGTACTGTAGGTTCCATCATCACAGGATTGTGATCACATGACATTTCAGTCATGCTTTCAATCTAATCTAATCTAATGGTTCTGGCTATGGCAGCCTTTAGTCGAAGTCAACTTTTACTGCTTGACATGCTTTCAATATAACTCGCTAACCCAGCGAGTTAATATTGTTCAAGATGAAGAAATTGATGACAGA